ATTTTTAGGAACATGCCTATCTTGAATTAAAAGCAAGTTAATTTTTAAAAATTTCCCAAATCTGTCCTACATAATTTTTTAATTTATTGTCCCAATTCATTAATAATACATTTTTTTCATGGCCACAAAATTAGGTTTCTGAAAATTAGGAAATAAAATTTAATTTTTGTTTATCTTAACATGCAGCAAAACATTATACAATGATAATTCTTTCTCAAATGTTATTATTATTAGTGATTAACACTAAGTCTAAAATAGCATTTCTACTTGACTCCATATGTTTCCAGTCAATGTGCTAAAAGTAAAGTTTCTCCTGGTTATTATTAGGTCGTCATGAAATTAATGTTGCTTTTTTTTAGATGAAATAACTCGAACAACTTATATCTAAACAAAACATTTATTAAATGAAATAGTCTCCATTATTATCGATGATGCTTTACCATCTTACATTCAGCTTGTGAATGCCCTGATTAAAGAAGTCACTTGGCTTTGAAGCAAAAAACATATCGATGTCCTTTTTAACACCTTCCACATTTGCAAAAGTTTTCCCATTAAGAATGAAAAAAATGGTAATCTGATGGTGCCATATCTGGAGAATATGGTGGGTGGGGGAGAACTTCCCAACCCAACTCCATAATCTTGTGTTGTGTCAAACATGCCACATGTGGACGTACATTGTCGTGGAGAAGAAGAACACCTTTCCAATTGATGAGTGAAGGGCTTGATTTAAATGTTCCAGTTGTTAACTATAGATCTCTGCATTTACAGTTTGTTGTGGATTGTGGAGTTTGAAATGAATTACTCCTTTGATGTCTCACCAAATGCAAAGCATCACTTTCAGCAAATGGAGTCCAGGTTTTGGGGTCAGAAGTGGTGTTTGTCTAGGACTGAGCCATTGTTTGTGGCATTTAATATTTGCATAGAGAATCCATTTTTCATCACCAATGACAATTCTGTCCAAAAATGGTTCATGTGCATTACGCGCCAGAAGAGAGAATGCAACGTTCACGCATTGGAAACAATGATCATCGTAGAGTTCATGAGGCACCCAAACACCTTCTTTATGGAGTTTTCCCATATTCCTTAGATGTTTACATACTGTTTCATGAGAGACATGCAATTCTTGTATTCAAACAGCATTACATGCCGGATGTGTGTCTAATGTGCCATCACTATAAAGGATTAGAGTATACTAAACTTTACACATTATATAGGCTACACTAATGTGACATTTAACTATCATATGTGATGAACTTTTTTGGGGGGGGGGAGTAATGAAAGTGTTCCAAAATGTGACATTAATTTCTTGATGACTTAATACGACTTATGAATATTTTTATTAGTATCAACTGTGATCTCATTATACAATTTCTCACCCATCCTGTCTGATCAATTGGCCTATAACAATTTAATCGTTAATTAAAATCTTTATACCCTTGAAACCTCTGATTACAACCCATATAGTCAACCATTTGACTACAATTTTTATTTTTTCAGTCCTAATTGACGGCAGTTCATCCCTTATATAAAGAGTCATCCCACTTTCTTGTAAAAAATCTGTCACTATTAAACATTTTATGTGGAATTTCAAAATAATTCCTATTATCAATATTCTTCAAATGTTTTATTAATTCCCATTATATCATAGTCTTCCATTTCAGCTAGAACCTTGAACTCAACCATTTTGTTCCTGGTACTTTTCATTATAATAATAGCAATTAAGTTTATTCATGATCTTACTATGTTTAACTTTAAATCTCTTAGACTTGTCTTTAAAGCTGTTATTTAGCTTGTTATTGCTTGGAATGCTTATCTATCGTATCTCTTTTTTTATATTCCCAATTGACCAAGCTCTCTCACCACAATGAAACCTTAGTTTAAACTATCTTAATACATATATTTAGTTCCCCAAATAGCCTACTATGTAATCTCTAGCATATAATTCCTCCTTGTCATGAAAACCATCCAACACATACAACCAACCCACCTGTTGCACTAAGCATATCCTTGATAATCCTTCATTTAAGCCTTGGATCCAGCTTAGATGAGGGAATACACTCTTCAAAGAGAAACATGTCTGTTTCTATCCCTAAACCTCTGAAGGAAGTTTTTATACCTGTTAAGCAGCTCTTCTGATTTAAAATTTTCAAACTCATTCACTTCTTCATGGACTACAAAAAGAGAATGATCATTGATACTAACAAATAAACTGTTAACACACTATATCCTGTACAGAAAGTACACAACATATTTTGTATTAGTTATGTAAAGATATTAATAACTGCTCTTGACTTTGTGAGCATGTAAGTTGGTGATGTCTGTGTTTCCACATAGATTCAAATGAAGATATTTTACACATAGGCTACACTTGTTTAATGTTATTAGGATAAGTAAATTTACCTTTATTTCACAAAACCCTTGATTTGCTTCTGTACTTGGAAAAAATATAAATATAAACCAGTGACACGTACGTCAGATATCCCACATCTGATATGTTAACCTTGGTTACTTAAATATTTGTACTACAGATTTTCTTGTGTGTGTAATATCATGAAAAAACACAACTGAGAACTTCCTATACAAACCTTCTAGTTAGAAAAAAGGACAAAGGTTGAATGTTAAGCTATCTTATTGAAATTGGGGTTAATTTTAATTTTATTCATCTAATGTTCTATAGTTTTGTTATCTAATGCAATTAACACAGAGTTGATCATTGTAGAGGCTGGGATGAAAACTTTATTGGATAGTTTTGTACTTATCATTTCTCACCAATTATCTATAATAGTTTATTTTACAATATTATTTTATTTGTGTTATTCTCTTTGTATGTTCAAGTAACTACCTTTCCACAGTTGGACTCCCACTAAAACATGTTTTACAGTTTTCTCTCACAGTAACTTGTGCTTTGTTTTTATTTGTTTATCTAGTGTTTCTCACACTATTTATTTCTGTATGGGTTAATAGATTCAATTTTCCTTCAAGGAGACTTATTTTTCTTGTCAAATAAGTATAAATAAATTTGATTGGTATCAGTTTAATTACTTAAGTAATACTCTCCAATGTGAAAATACTGGTGTTATTCTTACACCTTTTTTTCAGTGTTTAGCTAAAATGATAAAACATTACACAAGGTTATGTGTAAATGCTTAAACTTTTAATTTTACTGAGTTTTTTGTTTGTACTAAAGTTTAAACTTAGTTCCCATAGTAATGAAAATTTTTTAACATATTTCTAAGAATCAAGAATTATTTTTGATTCTTGTAACCAAGAAAACTAGTAAAACATTCCACAATAACATTAGATATTAATAAAATTTAAAATTTGAAACAAAATAGGTATATAAGAATTAAATAAACTTGAAAGTACTTGTGCATTAACTATGAAAGTTTGACAGATAACAATATATAAGTCTTACAATGTATTGAGTTTAAAATTTGAAAAAGGTATGGAATAAAAAAGTATTCAGGAAGTGTATTGAAATTTCACTTTAACCACATTTTAAAGTTTTATTAGTTTGCAAAAAAAAAAAAGAATTATACAAATGATATGTAATCTGAGACTATATCTTTATTGAATGTAATTATCTTCACTTTTTTACAAATGATGTATTTTTGGACATAACTTTTCTATCAGCATAGTTAAAAGTAAAATTAGGATAAGACAGCACATACTTACATGTAGATTCTGCAACACATTCCATTTGCTCTGTAAATATACCCATAATGGTTTAGGGAACTATTATTTCACTCACGACAAAATGTACTTTTAATTTTTCAGGTAAATATTTTACTGGTAATGAATTTACAAGTACTTCTAGATTGTCTCTTAAAAAAATAGTACACCATAGTTTCAAAAATAGAAAAAACAAAACATGCTTTATTTTTGTATCACTAAGGTTGTTAAGCTCAGTCTTAAATTCAATGATGAGTTGTCTGCTAAAGAAATTATTTCCAGACTGTAATTTTTATTTTCTAACAATGGCTAGCCATAAAAATTCTCAAGGTTAACTATTTTAGAAAAACAAATGACAGCACAGAACATAGTCACTGAAATAAGGAGGTAATTACCAGACTGTTAACAAGGAACTTTTATGTTTAGCTGTTAATATATACAACCCTTAATTTTTATTCTAAAAAAGCTATCTAATTACATCACAACTAAACATTTACTTGGTAATTACCATAGGTAATTTAGCATACCAATTTAATTTGAAATGACTGAACAATACAGGTAACTATAGCACTAACACAAAGTTCTTATGTATTGTTTATCTTATTCTTGATACTTATTTTATGATAAGTGACTTGATAAAAGTGTGTGACATAATAAAGGAAGATTTTGATTTTTTTTATAATGCTAAATCATGTAAATCTTGAATTTAAGCTTTCTAATAATGTCTAGTATTTCTAATTTGAAGGGTATTATCTCATATACCCAGATGTTATGGATAGTGTTTGAACTTGTGCTAAAAGATAATGAAGTAATGTAAATGGAGTAAAAGTTGTGGAGTTCTAATTTCAAATTAAAACTTGATGACAATTGGGTGCTGGTTGGCCTGATGGTAGAGCTCAGTATTTTGGAGCTGATAAGTCAGGTTAAATTACTTGTGATATCACAAAATTTTTCAAACACTTTAAGATGGGTGCATAACAAGAGTAACAATTAATTCCTTAGCATGGATGGTGGGTGGTAGGGTGCTTCTGTCTGCATTCCATCTGGTCAGTAACTTAAAATTAGGAACAGCAGAAGATAGTTTTAGTGGCTTTGCCTTAAATATAAAATAAATACTAAAGAAATTATATTTATGTCCCAATACACTTATTCCCGGGGTAAAAAATATTGATCTACCATTTTATGGGGATTGTTGGTTCACGTACAATATTGACGTCTGTATTAAGAGTAAGTTAATTAGTCATTAATTTCTTTGTGCATGTTTGTAGTTTTAAATGAAAATTTTAAAATAACTCCCTGATATATATTAATTTTTTCTTGTCTTTCAGGTTTAGAAAAGATTTCAGAACATAAAGTAGCAGTTCTGCTACTTGCTGGTGGTCAAGGTACAAGACTTGGAGTGCCTTATCCAAAAGGAATGTATGATGTTGGGCTTCCATCTCATAAAACTCTCTACCAGCTACAAGGAGAGAGAATCCTTCGCCTTCAACTGTTAGCTGAAGAGAAGACCGGAAAACCGTGCATAATACCATGGTATATTTTTGAGTAGAAGTCTTTATTTTTCTTAATGAAAATGTTAGATCATACTTTTGTGAACTTGTAGTATTGTAGTAACTTATGGTTTAGAACATTATCTTAAAGTACACAAATTGTATTAAAAATAATTATAATTCACCAAGTTTTAATATTGTTTGAAGAATCTTGATAACTTAAGTTTTCTGTAAGACAAAGGGAAAAGGATTTGCTTGCAGTGTCAGGGTATACTCAGCTGTTTTCTGTTTTTTTCCAGGTACATCATGACCAGTGAACATACCATGGATCCAACTATTGAATTTTTTGAGAAACACAATTACTTTGGGTTAAAGAAAGAAAATTTTATAATTTTTGAACAGGATATGCTTCCTTGTTTCACATTTGATGGAAAAATTATTTTGGAAACTCCATGGAAAATAGCAACAGCTCCTGGTTAGTAGAAGAGCATAATAGGCTTAATTCTTGTGTTAGGAGGTAGTTGTGTTGGTCCACTTTGTGACTATATTTAGATATAAGCTAACAGATAGTAAATAAAATGACATTCTTTTTAAATATTATGAATCAAAAAAAGAACTTAGATGAAAAGTTTTATCATTAGCAATTATTAAAGAATACAATTTATATGAACTTCTTTTTTTATTGACTTTAGTTTTTTGTTTTTTTTTCGTCTTAAATAGATGGTAATGGTGGTCTGTACAGAGCCTTAAGGAAGCAAGGTATTGTGGAGGACATGGAAAAACGTGGTGTCATGTATATACATGTTTACTGTGTTGACAATATTCTGGTCAAATTAGCTGATCCTGTATTTATTGGTTATTGTGTTGAGAAAGGAGCTAACTGTGGGGCAAAGGTTAATGAGTTTTTTTGTTTTTTTTGCTCTTTGAGAAATAAGATACATTTCTTGCTGTATATCATTTAATTTTAAGCAGGTTATATATATCAAACAGCTTTACTTAAAAAGACAATAAAGAATAGAAAAAAAGTTGTACAATAATTAAGAATGTTTTACAAGTCTTGTTTAAAAGAAGTCAATATAATCATTGTTCAGTATAATTATTGTTTGTAGTAGATAATCCAGGATTGCTAAATACCTGTAGGGGGTTGTATAACTTGAAACTAGTCTAACTTAATGGATAGGGTTGAAAGAAAAGATAAAAGTGTTTTAATATCTTTCTCTCACAAAGAACTGGTAAAGTACCAGCCAAAAGTGTAGTTTAATTTTTTCATCCTTTTATAGGTTGTGGAGAAACTATTCCCTACTGAAGCAGTTGGTGTTGTTTGTAAAGTAGATGGCAAGTACCAGGTGGTAGAGTACAGTGAAATATCACTGAAAACTGCACAGAAACGAAACCCTGATGGACGTCTGACTTTCAATGCTGGAAGCATCTGCAACCACTTCTTCACTTTAGATTTTCTACATACTGTGATAAAGTGAGTAATAAACTGTGAATGTATTTCTTTCTTAGGTGTTAATATTACTATGATAATTATCACTTTTATAATTAATTAATTTTTTTTATTTATTTGGAAGGCTTATTATATCTGTATAAAATAGTTCCAGTATGTTTTTTTACTGCTACTATAAAAACATTAATGACCACAGATAAACAGAAATAGCTGTATAAATTATAAATAATTTAAATTGCTAATGTGAAATATTTCAAAACTGCATTTTTTATTGAAATGAAATTTCATCATGGCCAAAAATATCATTTAAAGTGAGTGTACCAACTGGTAAACAATGCATTCTAATTATTATAAGTAATGTAGTTTTAACATCAAATTTAATTAGCTATGCTCATTATTAAGTATATATTTTCAGTTCTGGTCTCTTTAGGTAAGTTATTTTAATCCAAAATTAATATTAATTGTAAGTTTTTAAATTTATTTAGTAGTAATTTTTTTCATGTTCATGTTTCAGATCTAATAATTTGAAACATCACATTGCCAAGAAGAAAATTCCATATGTTAATGAGGAGGGTGAAGTAGTGAAACCAGATAAGCCAAATGGTATTAAATTAGAAAAGTTTGTGTTTGATGTCTTTGAATTTTCAAGGTAAGTATGCATTATATTTTTAGTAATAAATTTAAGGCAAAATTCACAAGTAGATAAAAGTTTTCCATGATTAAGATGACTGACACTTTTCTTAGAGAATTTGTGAGATAAACTCTTCTATTCAGTAATTACATATTTGGAAAAGTTATATTGTAATATCCTCTGAGATGAAGAACGACACACCACTTTTGAGAATTTTATTTTATTTTTCTGAGGTGTTGTTTTAGAAGAATCTACGCTTTATAGACAGAAAGTTTTCTGTGTCTTAATCAAGTAACTTTTACCCCATAAATACAGTTTGTAATTTTTACTTACCATCAAAATTTGTAACAATTGTAAGATGTTTTGTTATGTACTTTAGGATGTTTTTTTCAGGGTTACTAGTGAGGGGCCAAGTACCTCAAAATTCGTTTAATTCAATGATGGGGCAAGTCTAAGAATAGACTGGCCACACTGTTTTCCTTCAGAAAAAAATACACAGTTCTGATGATAAGAAAAACTTCAAACTTGTAACTAGAATGTTCTGTGAACTAGTGTAGAATAATTAATTGGTGATATTGAAATACTTCATCTTCTTAATTAAAGTTGTCTACTTTAAGTAAAATTATATATTTAAGCTAGAATTACTCATACTCTTGTATTAAAGAAATTTAAATGTTCACACAAATTACATTTGAATTTACATTTTGGGAAGAATATTTATGGGTCTACAAATCAGGTGGTTAGTTGTGGGGATGACCGTGTTATTTTTCTGTGTTTGCTATAATAGAGATATTTTTTTAAAAATGTATGCTTTTGTATAAAATTTACATTTATGAATTTTTAAATATGTAGGACCTGTCATTTTTCTAATGATCTGTTTTTTTATTACTTTGGTTTAGTCAGTTTGTTGTATGGGAGGTACTTAGAGAAGATGAGTTTTCTCCACTGAAGAATGCTGATGGAGCAGAAAAAGATACACCAACCACAGCCCGCCATGCTCTTTTTAGCCTCCACCAAAGATATGTCCTTAGTGCAGGAGGAAAATTTGTTGATGAAGATGGAACTACAATCCCTTTAATTCCAAGGTTTGTTTGATTTTAAGTGTTTGTTTAATAATGTTTTTATAATTTCAGTGATGTTCATTGTAAATGCACAAGTGTTAGGTTGTTTGAGTGACAGATAATGATAGATGTTCACTTTTACAAGTGCATTCTTGTCTTCAGTTTTTTTATGTACTCACACAGTTCAGTAAAAGTTCAGAAAGGATTTTTCATATACATACCTCACAGTTTATTTTCAAGTTTCTTTTATTTTTGTATTATCTTTTGTTCATTTGACAAATATTTATTTCAATTTTGTATTCTATATTATATTTTATTTTAACAAGTAGATTGTTTTAAACAAAGTAAAGTGAAAAAACATGTCAAGTTACTTTTTTAGCCCAAATTGTCCAAAGGGTTTTAAACTAAAATATACACATTTGTGCTTTAAAAGTCATCAAGTCTTAGAAACTGATGAGAGAAATAGTTACATAAAGTTGTATGGTGAAAGAAAAATAAGTAAGTTGTAACAATCTTTCATTATAAATAGTTATTGTCTTGAAAGCGTAGTAATAATAATTATTTATTTTTCGCTTCAAATAACATTTGCATTATTAGTCTTTGAAATTTACATATAAAACTTTTCTTTTATCATAAATAAAACTTGCATGAAATGAAATGTCCAAGTAGTTGCATAAAAATATAATTTTGTATTCTTTAATATTTTTTTTCTAATGAGTTTAAATTTTGACCTCGTCTTTATCCTTTTTTTTTGTTGCCTAACCTTTGCCTGTAGCCTGTCCACCACACAGAAAAGCAGTTTGAGTAGCACTTGTAAAGAAACTGGTCATGGTGATGATACAGATAGGTACAAAGCTTGCTTCCCCCTTTTGTGTGTAGTTCCTGTAGATCTTGCAACTCAGTTTTATAACAGTTATAAACAGACATCCCAGATTTCTAAGTTTGCTTTGAACACGTGTTGTTAAGCCTATTTGAAGTTCAGAGTGGTAAATATTTTAATACTTGCACTTCAAAGTAAGATAAAGTTGTCAAATTTAGAAAATATTGCATTTGGTGATCATTAAGTAAAATCTATTAACGAATCTTAGGACTTTAGTGCATTAATTTTTTTTTCAGATTAAAACTTTTACTACTGTTTCTCATAAAACAATTGTTAATGTGTTTTGCCATAAATAAATGTGAAGCTTGAAACAACATACGGGGGTAGGTAATGATGCATATGCATTTTTATGAAAAAAATTATTTATAGTTCTAAACAATATTAATTTAGATTCATTAAATTTTAGTATATTATGACCTTGTTGGGATTAAAAGTGGATTTGAAGTATAATTATAAAATCACATTTTAATTGTAATGTAAGAAGTCCATCTTCCTAAATTTTCCTACCCTTCATATAAAAGCAGCTTATCAGGTTGTTGTTTTTTTTTTTTTCGTCTGGAAGCATCTAAAATACTTTGCAGTAAATTGATATTAGAGATTAGGCATAATATCAGTTTCTTTTTTGTTTTTTATTGGTTTTAATCTACAATTTTTTTCTTACTTTTCTCTTAAAAGTTTAATAAAACACAAAGCAATATTATTTAAAGTATAATCATTTATAGCCAACTGAAACTTTGCTATTAGTTCTATATTGTACATATATTTGTGTTGTTGGTTATAACCTGCTTTCATTATTAATTTATACCTATTAAATTGTGTTTTGACCTGAATCCATTATTGTCACTATCCATGAGTAAACAAGAAGGATTTTAGATTTTTTTCTACTATTCATAATAGTAAAAATAACAAAACATTGCCAGAAAACCAGTGGCTTTAATGGACAGTACCTGCCTGTTTCTGGAGTGGGACAATATTTCAGTTTTTATACTGAAGTTTTCTTCAGGTTGAAGCAGTCTGTTCAAGCCACAAAACTAGCATGTCTGCAGTGCCTGAACTACTCTGGAAATAAAGCCAATGTTTGTTTCTTTCCAGTAGTAGCAAAACATGTTTGTAGCATAAGTAACTAAAAAAATTATCTTCCGAATATAAGCATTATGATTTTGCTCATATTTGTAACTAACTTTTGAAATAAAAGACTCTTATGGTGAACATAATATGTAAATATGTTCAGAAATATTTCAAATACATGTATGCCTGAGATCACGCTTTTAATTTGCATTTTTGATTTTAAAGTGTGGTGAAATGTGATCACCTTTTGTAATATTTCTTTAATGTTTAGTGTTAGAAGTTTACAGTATCTGTTTTTTTAACCTTTTAATAATAAGTATATAAGATATTATAGGGTGATTGATTTATCTAGTGCTGTAAATAGGGTCGAAGATCACATAATATTAGAAACTTTCAAGGGAAAAGTATTGAAGATATTTGAATGAATGAAGTAATTTTAAAGGAGCTTCAAAACATGTTTGTTAAATATAAAAACTAAAAGCCCTTGTAAAACACTAGATTTAACTTTTATACTTGTTACTTATTTACAGTGTATTCACTGTTGTTATATGTCTGGAAATTAAAAACGTTTTTATCACTTAGTCAAAAATATTACCAGAAATACCAAGGCCCAGTAGTGTGTGAAATATCTCCTCTTCTCTCCTATGATGGTGAGGTAGGTGTTCAAGATTTTATTTAAGCAAGCCTTTCATACATTGTTTGAACATGCATAAAAAATAGTGCTTTAATATAGAGTGATAAACAATTTATTTTTAATTTAAAAGGCTTATCTGTAAAATATGTATACTGTTATATAGTTTTTCAGACTACAAAGTATTCTTTCTCCTGTACAGGTCTTTGTATTGTAGGTTATTTCTTAAAAAATTGCAGTTGAGTTTTGGTAAAGGGAAATTATATTTATTATTTTTGTTGTAGAAAGTGTCTAGAAACCTAAAATTATACTACTGTTAGTTAAGTAATTAAATATATGACAATGGTTCCAACTTTTTTGTATATTAACCAGTGTTTGGTAGTAAATACGTAGGACTTCTATTTTACTTCAGAACATATTAATAATAAAGCTTACATAACAATATAAACATATTATCATTACAGTGTGATATTACTGGTTAGTTTATTGTTTGCTGTTTTTAGGATGAAAGCATTAGTTCTCTCTAAGTAACTGCTTTTGATAAGTTTAATTATGTAGCTTTTCACAACTGCATACACATTATTACATTCAGATTTAGAATTAAGCACAGTATAACTTTGTGACATTGAATAAAAGTCCAGAGACACAACTTTTGAGTATTTCTGAATTACAAATTGTCAAGTCGTGGCAACTATAGCCAGTAGAAAGTTGCAGGAAGCTTATGACAAAGACTTTTTGCATTGGGAACTACATTACAAGTCTATTTTAAAGATGCATGGTGATCAGATAGAGTATGATGAATTTGGAGACATGGACTATAATGACCTTGTTAGGCTCCAAAATTGTTTTAATATAACTCACTCAACGTCTTTAGAAAGATGAGTGGTTAGTTAGAAGTATTATGGATCTAATTATTTGGGTAAATAGGAGGAATAAGAAAATTGCAGAAAAATGTATACAGATCACTTCATATAATTAGGTCTAATATTCACAACTAAAGCTTTTTCTTGTTCAGTTCTTGTGTCCAGTGTTGATTGTTTTGTTCAGCTATTTTTTAATAGCCTTGTACCATAATTTACAAGTTCAAAACAACCTGACTACAGTATCATGTAAGTGTAATCGTGTGATTTGTACAACACTAGCTTAACCATTAGTTCTTCTGACATTTGATCTCATTGTGTATATTAGTAAACATGTTATGTACATTTGGTTTGACTACTGATAGTGAGATTGATTGTATTTCTACATAGGACCTACATGAACTGGTCAGTGGAAAGAAATTCACTCCTCCTCTGGTCTTGGAAAGCACACAGGAACAAAAGTGCCAAAATGGAACCAAAACACCAAACCTGCCTTTTACTGTGTAGAAAAACAGTGGACTTTGTAATGTTTCTCAGCACGTGTTTGTGGTGGTTGTCTATTTGTATACTCATCATTGTGTGTATGTAGACACAAGCTGGGGCAGTAAATGAAACTTAGACTATCGTGTGCTGGTACTAACTTAATAATAGAAAGTTACTTCAAAACTGCACCAGATGTCAAGTAATTGCACATCTTATCCGTTTGAAACATTAAGAGGCATGAATTAAGTATTGACCAACCAGTGTTAGTGTGTTTCCTAAGATTTATATTTGATTAGCACAAAATGTTTACAGAAAAAATTTGAACTCTTTTTTTTTAAATTTATGGTAGGAGCAGACAGAAAAAGAGCGAGTTGAATACTTTGTATGAAGGATAGAGTAATTACTGGTCATTTCCACAAAAGTAGTTTTTTGTTAGAAGCTCAAATCTGTCAATAGGATGCTTTTGTATAATGTATATAAGGTTTCAATCATATGTTAAAGCATTCTTCCTCTGGCTATTCAAAGTAAAACATTAGAATAATAAATTAAATAGAATAAACAAGGTAATATTCTATAATAAGATTTCTATATTTCACTACTGTGTGTTTGTTGGGTGTTAAAATGTTTTTAGTTTGTATGTTTTTGGTTCTCGGTGGCAGTAAGGCAATTCAATAAGCTGTGGACTTGTTTGACTATAACCTTTGGACCATAATGACTGTGACTAGAAATAGAAATAATAATTGTTTTTGAGTATTAAACTACAAAGACACCAAAACTGACACTAGTAATCAAAATGTATGTCTTAGTAAACCTTTCTATTAGGATCCACTTTTAGTTGGAATCATCTGTTAATTAATTAATACCAACTAGTTTTCTTCATTTGAAAGTTATTCCCATTCAACACATTATCTCTGTTATATATAATTCCCTCTTATAAATGATATACAGGGTTGGTATAATAAATACATTTTTGACTCAAATTACTTACTGTTATAAAAAACATTTACTTATTCTTCTGATTAGCTGCTGTATTTTAAATTGACACATATCTGTATATATTTTTTTGTGCAATTATATTCTGAAACTTAATTTAGGTATTTTTACTTTATACTTTATTAAAATAAATTTTCCCAGTTGTGGGATTGCATAGTTATTTGTATTTATAAAATACATTTTTCAATTTAATATTTTTAATGTGAAAAACTATATATATACATATTTTTTGTTAATAAATTTTTATCAATTATTTTGGAACAGATTTAAGTAATACATGTAGGTAGTTTTCCAGTTAGATCATTTCAACATACAAGTACATAACATATATACAAATGACATATTTTTTTTCTGATTTGGTTGTTTTCAGAGATTTGCAGCAAAATTTTATTTATAAGCAGTTTTTTGTGGAGGAGTATCAAAAATAAATATTTAGGTTACTATATTACCACTGTTATTTAATTTAAGACATTTTATGCAAAGGAGTGATTAAATTACTGTATACAGCTTTGAAATGAAGACTTTTTTTTAAATTAAAATGTAGATTTGAGGATTTCTGTCCTTTAAAATCCAGTTTGTCTAATGTAGATTTTACTTGTGATATAATAACTTCTAAGAATTTGCCTTATTTGATATACAGTGAAAAACAACTCAGTTTTGTAATTCATGTGAATTAACAAATGACAGATAATTACTTTGTTTAAGAAAGAATTCACAAAGCTAATTCCTCTATTTAAGGTTAGCTTGGTTGTATAATATCAGAATTTTGGATTGAACTTTTACATCACAAATAATGTTATTCAGTAAAAATCACCCAATGAGAATGTGGTGCTGCAAAATATTTTTATTGTTTTAGTTTTGTTTTTCATAATCTGATTTCTCATTGTAAAGAAACAGATTCAAAATATCCAAGATTTTTGTTTAATTAAAGCACTTGTTTTGGCAATAATTATATATTTCATTTTTAAAAAGCTATAGTATTGTTTACTCTGCTGATCTCTCTATATTATAATGCTAAATATTGTTGAAATAATCTTTGAGGTTTTCTTAATGTTTTAAAATTAGCTTGGATTGTAACCATTTTTCTAACACCTCATGTTTTTGTAATTTGTATTCAAACAAGTTTTTTAATGTGAGTAATGTTCTAATATTCACTTGGTATTTTCGTGTTTGTTCATCCTATTTCTGTACATTCCAAACCAAATCTATTTTTATCATAGGTAAATTTTAGTTTAAACAAAAACACATGTAAGTTTGTTTACTCTAAATGGATAGTGTGCCATGGTAGGATTATCTCAGGATTAATATTCTTGCACTCTTGCTTTGCCTTCATTAAACAAAAACAATTGTGTCAGAATTTCTTGAGCCTATCCTACTAAGGCTGGGTCTCCATTGAAAGTACAAAATGAACCACCTGCTGTCTTATCAAACAATTAAAAAACATGTGAACCTATTTGCAATGATTTCAAATGCTCTTATACTGTGTTTATGCATAAATTTGTAACAAAAAATTGTAGATATGATTTGAGACATCAAATGTTGCATATGAAACTATTTGTCACAGAAGAAAATTTTAAATGTAAAACTAGTTTTAAGTAACTTTTAGCAAATTTTGTAAAGTATACAGAACAGTGGATAAGATGCACGAGGTAATAATACATTTGAAAACAGATGAGCCATTAATTATTAACTTTGAATGCATCACAGTATATTTTACTGTGTTGAAGCAGAAAATATTAAGATTAAATAACATCACTCTGACAAACCTACAATAATCTTGTACTTTTATTGGAAATTAATTACTTGTATCAGACAACATAAATATATATATAGAGAGAGAGAGAGATTGTGTTGAAAAGTAGTTTTTTTGTGTGTGCAAACACCTTTTATGATTGTTTCTTCAAAATTTTCTTAGTTATATATCATTAATTAAAAGATTAAGTCTACATAAAGTCATTAATAAAATGTAATTTAATTTCATTTTAAATTGTAAGTCTTTGAAGGTTTACTGAATACATGTACTTTTTTTCTCTGGACTAAAACTTTTTTAATGATTAGGAAATTATTAACAATGATTATGTTATAGTGTACCATCAATAAAAATAAATACAAAATTGTACATAGTATACTTGTTAATGTATTCTTACATCAGTTAGCTAATTACAGGCTAATACAGTAAAGTAGGGTGAGCAAAGGCAAGTGGCTAATTTGCTCATGGATCTGTGGTTCATTCTCCATTACTGCCATAAACAAATTGTGCCCCACACTTTGAGACTGTGGGTGTATTATTAGAGTGACCATCAAATTCCACTATTTGATGAGAGAGCCCACAAGTTGACAGTGGGTGATGTTGACCTTACCTTTAGTTTATCACTTCAAAATTAGGGATGGTTACTGCAGATGGCCCTTGAGTAGTTTTGTATGAAATTAAACAGTAAAATACTTATGTTAAATGTCCAGTATCTTTCAGCTGGATAAGGTTCTTTGAATTTGTACTACTTGACAATAATAAGCAAAGTGAATGTGTACAGTATATGGTTTTAACTACAGAGTAATTGTAAAATACTATACATGGGGAAGACATAGGGGGCTAGAACCTGTTTGCATGTCTTTCAGATATCAGTTTGTCTTTGTCTTCTTTACTTTGTTGCTTCAAGAGCTTCATTTGACTGTTGATGACTGTTGAAAATCACTGCATTAATTCTGAGCCGGTTAAGAAAAAATTGAGGAGTTTCAAGAACGATAAGGCTCCTGGTCCAGATAATATTTCCCCAAGGGTTTTGAAGGAGGTTAAAGATTGGATATGTGAGCCACATACTATATATTTTTTGCTAGTCCTTGAACAGTGGGCAGGCACCAGAGGATTGGAAGTTAGCTAATGTAATTCCTCTTTTCAAGAGAGGTGATAAAAATTGTCCCAGTAATTACAGAACCATTAGTCTTACATTAGTTATTGTTTTCACTTTGCTTCAATTATCATAATTTTTTGCTAAGCTTTCATGATTTTGTCATACCATCCACCTACTTTATCTTTGTCTTGCTAAGCGATGTTTTCTTTCTTGCACGGTTTATAAACTATTTTTAGTTTTATTCAGAATTTTTATCTTAGAATTTATTTCTTAGATGGTGTTAGAAGTGTTCAATTTAAATGAAAAGCTGAGGGATTGAAAGATTTTGCTGTAAAGCTGATCATTTATAAAAATAATAAAAAACGTAAAATCCTGACTCGACTGGGATTTGAATGTGGGTCTTCACATGAGAGTTGGACACTGTAACCACTGAGCCACTTTGATAACCAGTCTTTCAAATATATCATTAACAAGTATGGTATTCATGTTTTTCCAAGTATTAAAAAACCTGCTATAAACATGATAACTTATCAATAAAAAGAAATAAAAAACAAAAACAGCTGTACTGTTATTTGAACATAAGACTTCTGCTTGAAGTTTGGGTGCTCTAACCATTGAGGCATATTGAGTGTTACAAGCAGACAGTAGCTTTTATATATACATGCTAATGCTTGTTTTCTCTAATGAGAAAAAGCTTGTAAGTTGCCAGGTAACTGTGAATTAGCTAGCAAAAATTAAATTTTTGGGCAATTTTTTCTGTTATAAAACTGTTTAAGCTATACTTTGAACAGAAACTAAGGTATAAGTTTCCTTAATTTCAATAAAACAGCTTCAGTGATGAAATATTCACGACAGCTTTTTGTGCTAAGAACTGTTAGATAGTAACAAAAATGCATAGTTGTGTGCAAATCAATAAATTTGTAGCCCATTTTCAACAATCATGTTTTTGCCTCATTTTTCATCCTTTCTAAATCAGCCATCTTCTAGTCCACTACCAGTTTTTCGAATAATTGTGGTTTAACTCTTTCCAAATATTTCTGTAAACCAACCTATATACATTAGTCTGTATTCAAATATAATCAAAAATGTCATCTTCATTTAGAGTTTTATGGAGAAGTAGATAAATAACAGATCTTGTTGAAGTTCAAGAGATACATCACCAGTCCAGCTAAAGTATGAAATGATCAGCTACTGATAACGCTTTTGCACATTCTACATTTTGTGAATTATTTAAATTAAAGCTTAAATAGAATAAACCAAAAATTAGTAACAGTCTCCCATTTTTTATGGCACTTTTTTAAATTTACTTGTACATTTGGTGGTTTAAACACAGAGTTAACTTTTAAGTAAACTGTTACTATATTATTATATTTTATTGTAACCTTTATGTTAAGTTACTATTGAATTATGGAGAATAGAAAGGTATAAAACATATATATATATATATATACTGCTTTCTTACTTCAATTCATATAATGAGGTTACCATTCCAAAAAAAAAGTTTTGATACAT